AAAGTCAAAAGATAATTTAATCCACATGTATATGTAATATATACTTATATATAATTAATATGTAATGTATATGTTGTAAAAATATGTGAATATTACCTCTTTGGTCTCAATGATCTCATAATTTGACACCTAATTCATAGGATCTTTAAAGGATATTGATGTAGGAAAGAAACCACCAAGTACATGGCAGTCATAAGGTAAAAGAAGCATTCTTATGCTTATCTCTTCTGAGGAGGTTTTAAATTCCTTGAGGGAAAATTTGCAATTTATCCACCCCTGTATCCTTAGCACTTACATTAATGTAGCTTAATAATTGCTTTTTTTAACACATAAGGGAGGCATTCTCTATACAAAATTAGCAGAAGAGGAGTGATCATGGAGGTACAAGAGTTACAGCATGAAAGAAAAAAAGATGAATATTCGGTTTGGATTGAAAAAAGTAGATACAATAACTGAGTTGATATATAACTTATTATATGCTAAAGGCACAACGTATCGTGCCTTAGCACAATATATTAACTTCACATTAACTTGGTTAATCTTGAAAGCAATCCTAGGACTCAGGAGCTATTGTCATCTGATTTTACAGATAAGAACCATGATGTGTAAGCAGGGGAAATAACTTGTCTCAGATCCACAGTTCTAAATGGCAGAGCTGGGATTTGAACCTAGTCATGGCTTAATACCTAGGCTCCTGACCACTGCTACATACCCTGATCCTGGCTGGGGCACTGTTATGTTTATTAGAGACATGAATGGTTTGACAAGGTTTGAGTCGTTCAGAAAGTATAATGGGCACCTCACACTGATTTTGCATGTGAAAATGAATACTTATCAGAAGCTAATAGCTTGAGAGATGACTGCATTTCCTTTAAAGTTTCTTTTAACAGATTCTTCAACATACTGAAGGTTACTACTGTTTTGAATAGTCAATAAGGTTAAATATAGAGTACCGTCTAACAGTGTCACTTATTTGAACAAGCTCTTAGAAATTCATTCAGAGGTAAAGCCTCTGGAATAGAACATTTTCAAATATCTGAAAATGTTGTGTGCTGTGAATAATGTTAGTAATTAAAGATTTGGCAAGTGGATTCAAAAAATCTAAGGAAAATACATTTTAGTGCATATCCTAAGGCAATTATCTAAATCTTACTAAGAAACATATATATGCATACAAATGTTTTTTCCCTAGATATTAATTGTAGAATTACAAGACTACATCTATCTTTTCCTTAATTCAATAGAAGACTCATTTACCAGGGTTGTGTAATCATAAGATAACCTGTCGATGAGATACACAATAAATTCCTAATAAAAATAATGATGTTAATATTTTATTACACATTTCGCTTAATTCATTAATGTGTGTATTTAAACACAACTCCAAGGGATTTCAAGGAAGCATATTTTAAATAGGAAGTGATCCAGAATTTTTGGATTCTACCATTAGGCTAGTTGCTTTATAATTTATATACTTTCCTCCTATTATCTTCATTTTACCAATGAGAGGATTGAAACTAAGAAAGGCCAAGGAGATTACTGAAAGTTACAATGCTAATCTCTGATGGGTATGGGATGTTTCTCTCATTTGACACTTTAAAAAGCTGGTTTCTTTATAGTATACATATTGTATTTATGTAAATATTATGATTAATGTAAATATTATGATTTGTGTAAATCAGTTGTTTTTGTTGCTGTGACCAAAACACTTGAAACAAACAACTTGGATAAATAAAGGTCCATTTTGACAGTTTTCAGAGCTTTTAATTCATGGTCAATTATCTCCATGGCTTTGGGCCTGATATGAAACACAGAATCATGGTAGCGGGGAAGTAAGAGAGAAGTGAGGAAGGGGCCAAGGATAAGACACAGTCCCCAGTGTAATTCCCTTATGGACCTATTTCTCCATCATGCCCCACTTGCCTATGATTTCCACCTTCTACCTGTAGTACTTTCAATTATTAATCTGTTAAATAGATTAATCCCTTGATACAGGTAAAGCCCTCAAAAGACTGACCTCTGATTCTTGCCCCACTGAGGACCAAATTTTCAACACATGGGCATTTAGAGACTTTCCAGATCCAAACCATAACAGACATCTTTAATGCTCCAAATTAATTGACAAAAAGAAATTGGATTTTTATCCTATTATCCTTATCTTCTAATTAGAAAATAGTACATATGAAATTGAGATACATTGTATTCTATAATATGCCCTAAGTCACAAAAACCAACTAACTATAAGGTGAGGAATAAAACCATGTTCTCCATGTTCTTTCCATCACATGACAATTGTTTTTCCACAAAATTGTATTATAGACCCTGTTTTTGCACCCGCTACCAAATAAATCATTTCCTATTTCCCAAAATATCTCCTTTGAAATAGTGAAGAAGGCTTTGGCATGTGAATTATGCTAGTTTTTGGAAGCCAACCTTATAACTGTTATTGTATTTGTTATATGCTGATGTTATACTACCTGATAAAATTGCTATTGATGATTATAAGATAATTATTCTTGTGTCATTATCATATTTTACGTCACACAATTTGGACTTTACATTATAAGCTATGCGACAGCCCTGTAAAGATTACTGGCAGGACATGTTGGTACTGACCTTCACAATAGAAAGATCTGAGAAAACAATGTGGAGAACACGAGGAGGAAAAGCATTCTGGAGATAATGACACAAGAATGGATGGCTTTTCAGCTATGTAGGGATGAGATGAGATGACAGCAAAGGAGGAAGGATAGAGGATCAATTCAAGACATTCAAGAAGTGATGACATAAGGAAAATTAGCAATATTATTATTCCATTTTAGGGAAAAGAATGAGAATTTTATAAATTGAGTTTGGGACTTCAAGGGAGCTTTTGATGTAAAAAGAATGACTGATCAGAGACTAGTATTTAGAAGATAGGGTCTCTGGATTTCTTCTTCAAGGCACACAGTTCATCTGGCTTTATTTCTGCTCTTATGAATGTTTTAAGTCTTAAGAGTAAAATTGCCTATAATGCATTATTATTGAGTCCCTAGGAACAGGGAAACCATATAGAAAAGGAAAAAAAAAGTTTTTTCAACAGTAGATAAGCATGTTATTTTTTCATACAAAGATTAGCTTATAAACTAAAATTTGATGAGATTAGTCTTATTAACCCTGAAAAAAAGGAGTATGAGCTATGAAACCAACCAGTCCTTATTTTTTATACTGATTTGATTAGGTAACATCAATTAATTTTTTTGAGGTCTTGCTACTTATGAACTGTAATAAGGACATTGTCAATCTTATAAGAGATATAAAAATATAATTTCTATAGAGCAATACAGGTCCGAGGGTAGAATGTACACCTCAGACCACTAACCACTATTATCAATTTGTCTTATTTCTCAGAGGTTGAAATGCAAATGTAAAAAGTATGGCTTTTAAAAGTATGACTGTCACATGTATAATATTTATAATAAATAGGTTTGTAGAAACTTATAGTATTATCTTAATAAAGATAGTATCTGAATCAAATACCAGCATATGAGTCTAATCATTATAAGATATATTGTTATTAAATGACATGTTATACATTACATTCTCAAAAATTAATGCTGATTTTATCCTGAAAAATCTCATAGTCTCCTGACTGAGTTAGGTGCTTGAATCTGTCTTTAAAATAAGTCCTTCTTAAAATGAGACATTCTTTTCAAACTGGCAAACCATAAATGTCAGGTTTTTAAAAACTCTTTTACAAATTAATAAAACAGTAAAAAGGAATAATGGAAAATATTAGGTATAAAATTGTACAATTTATTTATACAAAAAATATAAAGCATATAAGACAGTCATTTATGATAAACGTAGACACAGAACTTCAAATCATGTTATCAGTTGCATCAAATTTGGAGGACACACATAATATTTCCAGTTTAGTACAACTTTACAAAACAAAATAAGTAAGGGAATTTGTCTTTGAGAGTACTGAAATTTTGACTTTGATTTTGGTACCCACATAGGGGAAGATGGAATTCTCAAAAGACAACTTTTTTTATTTTTTTACTTTTTTATGTCTTGTTTTGTTGTTAAGAAAATGAAAACTAAAACCTTATTTTCACCGCATCATCTACAGTGATAAAAATTCCAAAGACTACACTCAAATACTTACTGAAATATTCACATACATATATGATTTCTTATCAAATACATCCTCTTATATAGCTACAAAAAATTAAGATAAAAAATTCACTTTCCTGAAATTGCTCATTTCTCATAGACTACAGTGTTATCTTCTTAGCCCTGGAAAAGCAGTTTGAACACAAAGCCTCTTGACAAAATATCTGCTTTTTCAAAGATGTTAATTTAATATACAAGGAGAGAAAGGCCTCTGGGGAAAGAGGATAAAAGAAGTGAGGATTTCTAACTCCAGGCTCAGAGACCGGAATCAGAAAACCATTTAGTTTCCTTTACACTGCTGATTAAAGCCTTCATTTTAACCTTCATTATAAATGGAGTGCATTAATCCCTAAGCTGTTTTTAAACAATTAATATTAACCTTCTTCAATCCCATCCCTGATTCCCCAGAAAAGCAATAGTTGAATTGTATTTATTCAGTGTAATGGATCCGTATTTCATTTAAAACAGAACCATATAAGCTTGTCTCTATTTATGTGAAACATAAACGTCATGCTCATCTACATACATAATGCTATAACACAGAGAAATCACAGTTTGTAAAATAACACAGTCTTTAGCCGTATTGTTTTGAAGTACTGAGAAAGGGAAGAGATGCATGAGCCCTTTTAAAAAACAAATGACTTTGCTCCTAGAACAATCAAAGCAGTGTGTATAATATCTCATTCTGCTAAAATAGTTTGGAGAATCATAAGTAGCTGGTGCACAGTGCCTGTAATTAAGCTTAGGCAGTTAAAAATGTTAAATCAAGGTTCTTTTTAGAAAGTAGTGGACATTCTAGTCATTCCCATGGATTTATAGGTAAAGTTAGAAGTCATGAACAACTACACATACTGACTTTTGGAATATATGCTCGGAGACTTCTTTTCCATGTGAAAGCTCTTCTGAGTGGTGCGGTGAGATGGTATTGAGTATCTGTAGCTACTGCTCTTTTCAGTGCCACAGAAGGCACAGCAGAATAGTGCCCCTCCAGCAATCAGCACCAGTGCTGTGGTCCAACCTATGTAGAGGGCTTCTCCCAGCTCACGTTTCTGGGCAGCATCCACTATGGGGTTGTAGAAGTCTCTGATGATGGAATTGGCAACCCAGCTCACAGGGATGAGCACCAACATGCCTGTGACAATGAAGATGATTCCAGACGTTAGCAGGATGCGACTCTTCATGTTCTCGTTGTCCCCAGTACACCTGGTACACTTCATGCCAAGGATGGCTGTCATAAAAGCCAGGAAGGACAGCACAGAAGCTGCACACATCAATCCTCGGGAAGCCTGTAGGTCTGGAGAAAGAGCCAGCAGGGAATCATAGACTTTGCATTGCATCCTGATGTTGGCATGCCTCATGCAATTCATCCACAGTCCTTCCCAGAGGTTTTCAAACACCACGATGTTGCTTCCAATGAAGGCAGACACCCTCCACTGAGGCATGATGGTGACAGCCACCGTGCCCACCATGCCAACTCCACCAAGCACCAGTCCAGCGATTTGCAGAGCGTAGGTTGCCATCGTCCTCTCAAATGAGATTTATCCGACTGGAATCCTGAGCCTGTGAGGCTGCTCTAGAGTAAGGCTCTCTGTGCCTCCGTAGAGAACAGTTTTCCTGTAGAAATGAACTCAGAACCCAGTGGTTTTTCAAATAAGAGCTGCTTTGCTATTTCTAGCTAGATTAAATCCAGTGTTGGCTGGTGAGGTGCCCCCCCTATTGACTCCAACAGGTAAGCTTGCAAATCAGGTGTGGCAACTTTCTTGGCCAATAAGAGGGGGATGGTGACTCAGGTGTGTCTAAACCAAAGAGAGATACTTGGAACAGTTGGACCTGCACATAAACATTCTTTGTACTTCTCAGTTTTCCAAGAAGACATCAGCATGTTTACCTATAGGCATAATTACAAATGTTTGCACAATCATCAAGAAGTGAGCCAATGTCTTGCAACATGAAAGCTGCACTTTGAACGGGTAATTCTGAAACCCTTGGTAAAAGCTGCTTTGACTAAGGTATAAAATAAAGTATCTGCCAGAGAAATCTGAAAGGACTGTTAAAATGCCAAAGTGAAAGGAGAGTAAGGAATTGATAGATTGCTCATACTTGGGAGACCACATTCTTTGGAACACATGTGATCCAAGGGGTTGATTTAATTTGTCTACAACTTTAAAGCAAGCTGTACTGAAGGGAGATCAGGGAACAAACCATGCCAAAGGACAAATAAGACTAAAGCAATTAAAATCAGGAGACTGGCCTCCTCCTTGGCACCAAATGCCTATTATTTTCTTTTAAGCCAAGAAAAATTACTTGTTGATATTTTTGATGATCCTATTTATAAGAAAAAAAATGCAAAAAATAAAAATTAAATAAAGGAGCCAGATGCTTTTCTGGTGATGCAATTACCGCAGCACTTGAATGGGGTGGGTTACAGCTTGCTTCCTTGGTGACTTATTTTATGGCTGTCTTTAGTCCTTTGTCTTTCTAAGATGAAGGAACTAGAATTCTGCAGATGGTCCAAGGATCTTATATCTATGCAGATGGCCAGTGTTTCTAAACGAAATATTTACTGGATAAGGCAACTATATTCATTGAACTAAATTATAATCAGTTGCTAACCAAACTGTCTTTCTTATGTGTAACACTAGAATTCAGAAAGACATAGAAGCCTCTAAATGTGAGTTAATTTGAACCACGTCTTTTCAAAGTAATGAATACAGTGGCACTAAAATAAGCATACCCATTGATTTTCTTCTGTCACCTTGGGCTCTCTGTTCTGTCTTCAAGTTGCACTTCAATTTCTTTCCACCTTAGCATCATAAAACAATCTTCCTTTATGACTTTACTTCCTCTCTGATTCATTGTACTAACTTAAATACAAATATGTGAGAAAATGTTTTCTGCTCACTTGTTAAACCTTGACAAAGTTTAATGGTTTACAAAATGTAAGTGGTTTAGGGAGATCATTGAAACAATAACAACAACAAAAATGTTCAGGGTTGGAATGGAAAGAGGAAGTTGCCAAAGTAAATTTTCTTTAAAAAGGGGGGGGGGGGTGAGGGAGGAAATATAGCATGCAGGTTGTTAATATTTTATTACACTTGATAGTTGAAAAATTAAAACTTGGTATTTATAGTAATTTCCTCATTTGTTAATCTGCTTAAGAGCAAAACTTCTTATCTTGGTGCAGACAATAGCATTCTTTTCATTAGGTCCTTATCATTTACAGATTCATATAGAGAAGGAAATATGTTCATCTATGAACAGTAATCTGTAAACCACAAAAGGTGAGTTGAAATAGAAAATGCAGACAATTTTAATCTTTAATTGTCAATTTGGGAAAGGAGAATGACTAAAATAATTGGAAAATTTAAAAAAGGAATCATATAATTAGTTGAGATAGTGAAAAACAAATACGTACATATAAATACATGTTTATGTATGTACATACACACATGAGAGACAGAATTTATCTTCTAAATTCCTGTTAGTATACTTCGTAGGAGCTGTTGAAATGTTGTAGTAACTCCACATCAACTTGGAAAAACACCAAGCAGAAAAAGGTGTCCTGAGTCTGAATGCCTGGCCTTGGTTGAAGCTACCTCCCAGGCAGTATCCATTACCTCTTGGCTCTGTGTAAACCTAACCTCTCTTTCCTTAGTATTCAGCTTTACCAGGAAGTCATCTCATGCAAAAATATTTTCCTCATTTCAAAGCTACTAAGAATTTTGCTGATGAAATTCTTCCTAGCCAAAAGATTGAGATCACAATGAAAAATTAAGACTAGGTTCATATTAGAATAATTATAGAGTTAACTGCCCTAGCAGGAAGTAGCCCAAGGCATCCAGGTAAGTGAGACAAAGATCCAGTTAACCCCATGATATTTTGAAACAGGCATGCCCTAAAGGTCAGAGAAATGAGACAGGAAGAAATGGTAATGGCGAGTTTGCTGGAGTCACTCTTAATTTCAGATTCGTTGTTTACATACTTTTTTGCCCTACTGAGCTGATTAAGTTGGCCACAAAATTCAGGTAGCATTGATGATTAGAAATTTAGCACATGGATAATGTTGTGCAATTCTTTAATTTAGTACTGCAAGCACCCCATGCAGCCTATTATATAAATAGCTTTTCCATTTCTATGGAGAAACAGAATACTACAAAGAACCCAAGAAAGAAGTGAGTGTCCATGTTGACACACTATGCTCTCTCCTTTGGGTCTACCTTTAGTCTATATAATCAGAAGATGGCTTGAAGTTTAGTGATTAATTTTACTAGATTGAACCCAGTGCTGATAACTACACAACACATGCAAATTCTTTCCCTTTAAAATGATGAAACACAATATCACTATTGTTCCTGTTTTGCCACCTTTATTTTTATTTATACTCAATAATCTTTAACCTAATGCAACTCTTCAGTCTCAGGTTCCTATTAACTCTTATCTCTGTTTGAAATAATTATAGCTTCTGTCTATCAAACAATTGCCATTTTTTCTTGTTTTCCAAGTTGGTTTTTGTACTTCTGTGTTATGTTGACAGTTTTCAAACCATATTTATTTTTAATTATTGTTCACTGTTAATTAACTGTACTTGGCTGACCATCGAATCCTGAGAAAGCAAGTGAAACATGTCAATAGATCTCTTTGTTTTTTGTTCTTAAAATAATATTGTGTATTGCTACATGGTTTCTTAAACCACCAACCTATTTGCTGTCTCTCTCTCTTTCTTTCTCTGTCTCTCTTTTTCTCGGTGCTGTGGATGGAACCAGGGCCTTGTGTATGTCAGGACATTGTTCTACCACTGTGCTACATTTCTACCCCTACTTTTCCTTCTGAATCGCCAGTTGTCCTTCAGGTACTCTGTTCTCCAAGACGTCTATATTCATTAGCAGTCTTCCAGCTCTCAATAATTCCATTTCAATTGCTTTGTTTAAAAGTAGACTCTTGCTTGTATAGAAATTAGCAAGTTTCTCAGCCAGTTCAGGCTGCTTTGACAAAGTACCATAGACTGGTGGATTTAAACAGCAGAAATTCATCTCTCAATCTTCTGGAGGCTGGAAGTCCAAGATCAGGGTGCCAGCATGACCAATCTCTGGTGTGGGCCTTCTTACTGACTTATAAAAGGCTTTTTGCTGTCTTCAGATGGCGGAAGAGAAAGTGAGCTCTCTAGTTGCTTTCTCTTCTTAAAAGGACACTAATAATTGTGGGAGCTCTGTCCTCATCGGCTCACTCAAACCTAATTGCCTCCAAAAATCTCACTCCCAAATATCATCACATTGGTTGTTTGGGTTTCAACATCGAAATCTGGGTATGGGAAGCACAAGCATGCATTCTAGAACGTCCAGCTGCTAACAAATCCAAGCAATTAAATTCACAAAATTCTGAGTCATTTATTTTTATTACCTCAGGAGTTCACTTGCATTAATGAATATATATATATATATATATATATATATATATATATATATTTTTTTTTTTTCTAGCATTAACGTGATAAACATAAAAATTGAATCATGGAAATAGTGATCATTGAAAGGATTTATACTTTCTACATTTTCATTTTTTGAAATTAAAATTTGATCATATGCTAAATCCTGATATGATCTGGGAGACTGTGTTGTGCTCTTGTGAGTGCTGTATTTAACATCTCCACTAAGGGACTGGAAATCCAGGGAAATGAAATAGTTGATAGAAAAAAAAAAAAAAATATATATATATATATATGTATATATATATATATATATATAATGTGAATTTTTTTCCCTCTAAACTAATGAGTAATTTTCAGTACAGAATTGATGTGAAGCATTCTAATCCTGTGATTTGGGGGAGATTTTAAAAAGGAAGTAGAGTTACTGTTGATGGCAGCAGCTATGAAGTACTGAATGTCCCCTACACACTGGTTGCATATATACTTCTACCTTATATAATACATCCTTGAATATCAGGAGGTATTAGCTCCCTTTTATAATTCAATAAATTAAAACAAGAGAGAACATGCCTTTTTAAAGTTAGCTTTTTCTTGTGAAATCTACAGTTCTTTTCTGAATTAACTACTATCCCCTCTTCCCTGCCCCCAAAGAAATTAAAGATAATTTGTGTCTGTGTGTGTGGTGGTGGAGGGGTATAAGGGGTGGAATGTAGGGATGATCTACTACAGGTAGACATAATTAGCTCATTTAATTCTTTTTTTTTAATTTTTAAAGAGGGTCTTGAAAAATTGCCCGCGGTGACCTCTAAATTGCTATCCTCCTGACAGCCTCCTGAGTCTTTTGGATCGCAGGTGTACATCAACACATCCCCCAGAGAAAGGGAATGTTTGAGATTAATATATATAATCAAAATTAATGATGAAATGAAATCTGTTCAACATTTTTCTTTGCACAACACATTGCTGTAAACAATTTGTATTTCTAAGCTTCATAACTAAGGTTTGAAATATAATTTTTTAGATGCTCTATTCAAAGAAGTTAAAATTGGGAAAATCTTGTAGACCATACTATAGTTATTCCTTATTTAGAGCTTG